CAACATTATTATTTTAATTGTTGTTATCATTATTATCATCATTATTATCGTTATCAGAGGCAACCGTTATGGTTATTTTATACTTGCCCCCAACCATCTAGACTAAGTTTCAGATTACAAACTTCGATTGCTAGTTTTATCATGAGGAGCGATAATCTGTTATTGCTTAGTGCGACTGCTTTTTTATTACAAAGCGCGATGGTCAGTCCCTACATAGAGCAGCAGATTTTTTTATCACAAAGTGAGACAAGTACTAATACATAGTGCGACGATCATTACAAAGTACGACCCGTACGATGAATGCAACGAGAAATACAACCTTAGTTATATTAGTTATATTAGTTATATTAGTAATTTTATTTCGGTCTTAGCATTTTTGTAATTGGTAGTCTTATATAGTCTTATGTAATCAATGATTGTGAAAAGCACGCAATTCAACCTATGGCTGCAATGTATTTTATTTGGTAATAAACTATCTATCTATCTATCTATCTAACTTTTCCTCAGTTCAGCGGACTGTCCTATGAAAATTCTAGGAGATGCATTATGGAGATATGTTAACACCGTTTTGGCCTCTGTGTCTAGTGCGGTGACCATCTTGTCTAGATTTATCGCCATAACAGTCAAGTTTTTAGTGCTGCGGACCATAAAGGTTTCACTTTCTCTATACACGCAGTCTTCAGTTTTTATCCTCGTTCTCACATTGTCAGACTTCTAGATGGGATTTTTCGTCCAACCTTTATGTGCGGTGGCATATCTACTTTATCAACTCAGTTGATAAACCCAAATTAACTCGTTAATCACACCAACGCATGCGCAGCAGCATAGTTTCTTTATAAACTTACCCCCTTTATATGTGGTATGCTTCACCAGCGATTTGTCTGCCTTGTTTTGTTCATTAAGTTTCATAATGTAAACTCTGGTTATCTTTCTTCCCTATATCGTTTATAGCTATTATAACCATAAGTGTGGATTGGTACCTCGCTCTCTCTTTACATCTGTGCTATCCTTCCATTGCGAAAATCATTTGCGTGATCAAGTTGAGTATTGTAGTATTTTTTAGTCTCACTCCCTTCGTCCGTTTACTTCTGGTTCTCAAAAGAGGAGTGATTAAGGAAATCAATCACAATTCTAGCTTTTATTATAACATTTTTGGGTATTATGATAATGCCCTTTTGTTTTAGTCGGCTTTTCGCAGTATTGCGGTGACCTAAAGGCCAGATTAGGAGGCAAAGTCCGAACCACATGAGAAGAACAAACGGATTATCCAGAAATCATTTCCAAATACAGACAGTCTGTGTTCGCAATTCTATTTGTGCTTGACATGATGCTGTAACGTTATCCTCAGTTTGCGCTGTAAGTTTTGGGATCATGTTTTTCTTTGTAACACCGATGAGTAAGAAAGTCCTCATCATTTCATAATGGTGTTGGTCAATCCCTCGATAATTCCACTGGTTTAGTGTTTGAGATTGCCGGGAATTTGGCGCTTTGCAATTTCGAAACTTCGGCAGACTTTCAAGGTCAGCGGATCACCACATGGGGTGCAAGCCTCAGACGCGTCAAACCAATGTCAATCACGTGTTAAGCAGCTATTCTCGTCTCACCTATATGGGTGACATTTCATTTCACCGTTTCATAAATTCAAACGTATAACATAAGCTTGATTATTTAAGGGCTTGCAAAATTATACTAATTTTGTATCTTTGAAAAAAAGTAAACGTAAGTTATAACTACATCGGAGTAAAACAAAAGAGGAATTTAATGAGCGTAGAAAAGTAAACTTGATTTATGAAGATCAGAACTTTTACCGCCAGCACCTGCAACTTTAACGCTTTTCAAAATTGCAGTCTGAACTTTCTAAAGTCATTGCTCACATTTTGTCATAACAAATGATGAGTATTGGGAGATATGCTTTAAAGTGCACCTACACCCAAAAAATTTTTTTCGCTTAACGAAGTAAGCTTATTTTTTTGAGTATTTCTGCGCAAAAATTTTTTTATTTGCTCAAATCTTCAATTTTCTATGCCCAGTCAAAATACGGAAAATCGGCCGCCATCTTGCCCCACGACCGAGTTTAAAGAGGAATGGCTCTAGTGGGTAATGTGACGTCAAATCGAGAACACGAAAGTCTGC